CCACCACCACCACCCACCCCTTCCCCATCCCCCCTCCCTTCCCCATATATTCAGGAATTGGGTTAAAACTATATTTTCCCACTCGCAGTTGAAGGTCATCAGTTGACACGAAGAAATGTCCTGTACTTTTACCATCTGTGAAACTGACAACAATGTGTGGAAAGGCATTTGCATATTAGCATACCATAGCCCCAAGAGTAGGAGGAATGCTTTGCCCAGTAGTTTAAGAGAGATCAAATCTTTTTGTCTATTCAAATGTCAGATAAAGCCATTTCTGTTTTTAGATGAAAGCGATAGATCTTTAGTCAGTTGGCAATGTTCTGTTTATGTGTTGCTAAATCGTTAGTAAAGCGCTCAGAGCCTGTGTTCTTTAATCTGGGGTGAGCCCGATATAAAAGTCTTGTTTTATTATCATTATCATTATTATGTATACAAACACACGCCCACAACTGCACTAAGCTACGCCCACGCCACTGGAGAATAAATGTCCCAGGGGAAACAATTGAACAATAAGCGGGATTGTATTTGTAAGATTCTTATTTAGTCATGTAGTGACAACCCTACTATCGTCATTTTCCCTCTACTTCTTCTGTATGTTAATCACAGTCTTGTGACCCGCTATTTTTGGGGTGCCTTGATAGTCGAAGCAGACTTTGTGCTGTTGAGGCTAGAGAGGTGAGCAGAGTAAGTCTGATTCCCCGTTTGGACTTCTCTGTTGACATCCACCCCTTGGCGCTCATATGACCTTATGCAGTTGCGAGCGCTGTAAAACCTTACGGGAACTAAAAGGGAGTTTTCAAGGCTGTCAGTCCTTTTGGCTCAGTCCTATTGGACGTTAAGTTCATAGATCCAACTTGTAAAACAACCTGGTAGAGCTGAGAGAGGCGATAAACCCACACACACTTACTGTACTCACTTCTGCTGCCACGGACGGGGAAAGTGGGTGGTTGGTGGGTGCTCTGGTATGGTTTGCTCCTTCTTTTCTATCAGACATCTATTGTTACACTTGTAACACATCTATCGTCCTTATCTCTCCTCCTTTTTTTGTGTTTGTTACTCTCTTGTCACACATCTATTCAACGGCATTTATATGACCTTACTGAGTTGCAAGTGCCATAAAACTCTTACGAAAACAAAAACAGACATGGAAAGTTAACCAACATTCCTGCTGTTTCATTACCTGCCACCGCTCCACACCAATGATCATTCTGTCTTGACCCGGGGGGGGGGGGCGTTGCTACTGACCGAAGTGTCTTTAGGCCATACCCAAAGGGGGGACATTAACATGTTCTTATGCACAGTAGAATTGTAAATTCGCTGATTCATCAATGTCATGCTCATACTATGGCTGAACTGCAACAGGGAACTGCTAATTTTTCCTCTACTTGTTTTGTATGTTTGTCACACTCTTGTGACCCGCTATTTCCGGGGTGCCTTGATAGCCGAGTCAGCCTAATTCCCTGTAAGGACTTCTCTGTTGACATCCACCCCTTGGCGCTCATGTGACCTTATGTAGTAGAGAGCGGCGTAAAACCTCCACTGAAACGAACTATTGTGCCTTGATTTGTTTCTCACAGCTGGAGGGAGGTCAGATGATGCGTCTGATCACGCTGATGTTGTGTGCCGGCCTCTTCAACACGCTCCACAACGTGCTGGCGTTCTCCGTGCTGGCCATGGTCTCCCCGCTCAGCTACGCCGTGGCCAACGCCACCAAGCGTATCGCCATCATTGGAGGCTCCCTCATCATCCTACAGAACCCCGTGGGGCCCATGAACGTCGTGGGCATGCTGGTGGCCATCTTTGGCGTGCTCTCCTACAACAAGGTCAGTGGTTTTTGCTTGGAAACAGTTCTTTTAATGTAGCTGTTTTTGTTTGCTCTCAGCAATCATTGTCGTCATCATCATCATCATCATCATCATCATCATCATCATCATCATCATCATCATCATCATCATCATCATCACCATCATCAATGAGGGCTCGTGGTTTGTGAAACTGACCAGCTATCATTCATATTGTATAAATAGATCCGGGAAAGGGGCCTAACAAATCATCACCA